AAAAAGGCCACGGCCTCGTGGTCATAGAAAAAGAAACAGGTACGCATAGAAACGCACAGAAAACGACGCGGAAACAGCATCTGCAAGCGCTGACACTCCTCCCCAATCCGGCTTAGCGTCGTAGCCGCCCTCTAGGTTCTCCGTAGAAAGTCGATCCGTCAGCTTGTCGACGGCCGCGCAGCCCAGAGTGCCCTAGGGCCTCTTCGTATGCTCTGACTGCCTCCTGCGCCTGCTCCAGCGCTGTTGGATCCTCCCAAGTGTCATCTTCAGCTTCATATCCCTCCCATCTGACCTTGTATGATATTGCCTCGCCATGTACGAGCTTGCTAACTATCTTCTCCACCTTCCATTGCTCCATTCCTTGTTCGTTAATGTGATCTGGCGGAGGGGGGAGGTTTCGTTGATAGGGATCGTCGTCAGGGCTCGGAGCAGGGTCGAGATGGATCTTGCTGATCACCTGATGGATTCTCCAGGCCGCAGGCAGGTCAATTTGTAGCGCATTACCCTTGCTAATTACCTCAAGGATTCGAAAGGCTCTTATATATCATGGAGATAGTGCAAATTTGCGTGTAGAAGGCAGTGAGTAGCTTTTTAGCGAAAGGCGTAGCCTAACCCAGCCGGAGTCAAAAGAACGGTCTTGAATTGCTCTATTCGTCATGACTTCTGCGGCTAATTAAAGACCTTTTACAGCTATATCCCTAGCAGCCTTACGTTCTTATACTAGCTGCTCTAGCGCCTCTAGTGTCAACAGCGTTAGCTAAGTGCTAAGAGTAAAGCCGTAGATAACCTGAAACAGAGTCTAGGTGACTGCAGAGGAGTAATTACTATTGAAATAGAACTCGATAGTGGGTAAGAATTCCTTCTAATTGGCCTGAGTAGCGTCAACGTAGAAACGCAGCGCAATTTCTAGCTCCTGATTCATACGTTCTGATTAGCCATCTGCCGAAGGGTAATACGCTGTAGTGTAAATTAGTCAAGTGCCGGCCAATTCGAATACTCTCTTCCATAATGTAGCTGTGAATCGAGCGTCTCAATCAGTAGTAATAGTGTTGGGTAAGCCATAGCCTCTTCTGCAGAAAACGTTATCCCAGAGACATTTAGCCCATTCCTTAGCTGTCTGCGCCTTTTTCCTTGTTTCAAAGGCTACTCGCTTTAAGAATTGATCAACAACAACAAGTATTATGTTATGCTCATCCTTAAGGGGCAAATCAGTAATAAAATCCATTGTTAAGGAGTAGAAAGGTCAAGGAGGCGCTAAGAGCGGCTTTAATAGCGGTATAAAGCTTACGTGGCGTAGCTTATTTATTCCGCAGCCTGCGCAGTAATATATAGTACTAGTGCAAAAGTATCCGGACAACCCCACCTTCACACCCCACCAACATTTTGGACCATATCCATACAAATTACTATAGTAAGTTACCAACTTGATGGATTCTAATAAAGAATAGCTCAAAATGTTCAGAAACATCCAGAGATTGAGGCTAGGCTAATTTCCTAAATAGGTAGTCGATATTCAGAATCTGGT